TTCGCCTCCACGAGCTGCTCGCCCACCTCCGAGAACTGCTTGGCCTGTTCCTGCTTCTTGCGCACGGCGCCGATGCCCACGCCACGCCTCCGCATCTTGGTCACTCCTTGTAGAATGGATGTCCACCTAGATACTTTAATCAAGTTAGACCTTTTCAGCCAATCGAATCGTTGTATTGTATTGCTGTTTTCATATTGGTAGATACGAATTTTTCGGCACCCCCGTTTTGGGCGAATGGTGGCCTGTTTCGTGGCCACGACTCTAGCGAGAGGATTGGTTAAAATATGTCACAGTAAATTGTGGCAACAGTGTCAACCTCCCTTTTTGACTTGACATTTGTAAGAAGACCACCTTTCGCCCCCGGACGTACCTATCATTGCCCCATCTAGCTGGTTTTCTTCCGTTAGCTCCGGTTCATTTCGCGGTTTGCGGTCATCGCCCCAAAGAGGAACTACACACACAGATTTTAGTCGCGAGAAACGCCACCAGCTACCATGTTCGTCTTCGATTGGTTCTACAACGTGCTCGGCTACCTGGGTGTGTATAATCTGTACATTATCATCTTCCTTATGCGACGACTTTGTTGTCGGCGGCTTTGGGTCGATCCTCATCGAAGCTCGATCCTTCTTCGTCGTCCCCATACAAATCCTAGTCAAAATGCCAAATGGGTGCTTTCATAACGACAATTATAATTAATTTTTGTGTATTTATTTAATTTCGGCAGGCCTGTACCACAAGAACGCCAAGATCCTGTTCTTGGGCTTGGATAACGCTGGTAAGACCACCCTTCTACACATGCTCAAGGACGACCGCGTGGCTGTTCACGAGCCTACGCTTCACCCGAACTCAGAGGAGCTGATCATTGGCAAGCTGCGTCTTCGCACCTTCGATCTGGGTGGTCACGAGACCGCTCGCCGACTCTGGCGAGACTATTTCGCCACGGTGGACGGCGTCGTATTCGTGGTGGATGCGCTGGACCGTGAACGCTTCCCCGAGTCCAAGCGCGAGCTGGACACGCTGCTGGGCTACGACGAGCTGGCCAACGTGCCGTTCCTGGTGCTCGGTAACAAGATCGACGTGCCCCGCGCCGCCTCCGAGGACGAGCTGCGCAGTGCGCTGGGCCTGTACGAGACTTACGGCAAGGAAGCTCGTGGCGACAAGGACGCCAGCATCCGCCCGATTGAGCTGTACATGTGCTCAGTTGTGCGCCGGATGGGATACGCTGACGGATTCCGCTGGATGGCGCAGTTCTTGTAGATCACCGATCGGTCTTTTGTCGTCGCTTAGCGCGGCGGCGTATTAGCAGAGGAAGGAAGCAGGAGGTTACGCAGGGAGGAAATGGGAAGGAATAAACGCCACACACACATACCTGCATGGCTATTCGTTGCTGCTGACTCGATCGATTTTCTTTGTTGAGCTGGCAGGTAGTGTCCGCGGGAGTAGGCTAGGTGGACCTACACGTAATGAAGCCATCTTGTATCTTCCTGATCAGATTCACGTGAAGACGACCGTCAACGAGCAGAGTGCGGATAAACTGGTCGCCATAGCCTCGCAAAGTGTACTTGATATCGAGCAGCACTGATCAACGCAATTTAAATCCTGCGAGATTTTGAAGATCTTACGGAGTACCGAGAAAATAAGTGATAGCTGGTGTAGTAAACAGTATTAGGCATGGTCCAGAACATTTGCAAACGGCAGCAGATCTGGATGCAGCTTCCGTCCTTGATGAATACTGGAGCTGACCAGCTCGGGCGATCTCTGGTATGAAGTCTTCTTTTTAAGGAATCCAAAACTAGTCCTCACTTCAATGACCAAAGACTATTTTATACTCCCCATCCAAAAATTGAGGCCACTCAACTTTTTCGAGCTTGAGAGCAATGAGCACAACCAAGGACGACAGTGGCCTATCGCGCCAAGTGACCGCGGTGGGGACGCTTGGTGACGTTGGAGCCGCCTACGCCGTGTACGAGAAGAACTGGATTTGTGCCGACTGCAGTCACGAAAACTACGCGAGGCGCCAGCGCTGCTTCCGCTGTCGCGCACCCAAAGTGGAGCGATTCGACGCTTTGGTGGTGGACAGTCAGGGGGGTGCACACACGTGGCGTGAGGCGCTAGACCCGGCATCCAACAAAATTTACTACTACAATACGGAGACTAACGCGACGCAATGGGAGCGCCCGGCAGAGATGGGCGCCGCGCCGCACTCCACAGGCTGGTTCGGGCGTGGCAAAGCCGGCGTGTCGGAGGGGGACCGCTACGAACAGCTCAACGCCAAATTCATGTCCCGCCCGGCTCGCAAACAGCTGGACGCAATGCCCACAGCCAATTCGCAGCTCGAGGGGGCCTATGAGTACAATATCTGGTACGATAAGTACATTGGTGACCACTGGGATGATGCGCGCGGCAAGGACCCGGCCACGACGCGCTGCGACCTCGAGCGCGACGCTGGAAAGACCAAAGCGGACATCGTGAGCAAGGCCAACAGATACTTCTGTGTGCACTTCGCACGTGGAATGTGTGCCAGAGGAGCAGAGTGCAGCTACTACCACCGTCTGCCGTCTGCGGCTGACGAGACGCGCATCGGCATGATGCACGACTGCTTCGGACGGGAACGCCACGCTACGGATCGAGATGATATGGCTGGAGTGGGTAACTTTACTAGAAACTCGCGAACGCTCTACGTTGGAGGCCTGAAGACTACCAGTGGACAGGAAGCTCTGAAGCAACAAGAGGAGGCGCTCTGGAAACAGTTTGGCGAGTGGGGTGAAGTGGAGAACATCAATGTGATCAACCGCAAATCAATCTGCTTTGTGCGATACCGCCATCGCACGAGTGCAGAATTTGCCAAGGAGGCGATGGCTAACCAGTCGCTACAGAGCGATGAGGTGCTCAATGTTCGTTGGGCATTTGACGATCCTAATCCTGTGGCCAAACAGGCGGCAGAACGTTCGGATCGTGACGCTATTGTCGCTATGATGAAGGCTAAAGGCGCAAGCACGACCGAGGATGCAGCGTTCGATTACCCAGAGCACTACCAGATGCCGGCGACAAAGCGACAGCGGATTGAAGGTGATACGGTGGCGTCGTATCCCGACACGGACACGCAGTTCAATGGAAAATCCACCGATCCTACTGAAGAGGAGTTGATAGCACAGTTGAGCTACGCCGACCCTAGCGGCCAAGGTCCAGCGGAGCCAGAAGGAGAGGAAAACGAAGACAAGTAAAAAAAAAAAAAGCTTTGCAAAATCGTTCTCTTACTTGTGAATAGATGGTATAACTGCTCGCTAAGCTAAGGATCGAGATAACGATACACTGGCTTTGGAGGTGAAGCCATGCCTTGCTGCGTTTTCACCGCTTCGTGATCGTCCAGCAACGGATTTATCAATGACACGCTTAATTCTTTGTCATCGCCCAGTAATCCACTCTCGAGACCTGATACCTGAATACCTTGAGCTGTTGTCTCTTGTGGCCACCAGTCCGCATCAAAACACCCAGAAGCAGCGCTTGCGAACAGAAGCAGCACAAAGAAAAACCACCACGTTGCTCGAAGTCCT